TGAACGTCCATGTAACAAGTTAAAATGATAAATAATGAAGATAAAAAGTAAAATTTATTTTTTATTTCGATACCACTTGTTAAATGATTGTTATAATAAAAGAAATCTGCTCAATTTTTATTTTAAATTTAAACATCCTTCTAGAATACGTTCGATTTTGATGCCTGGGCAAGTATTAATAACCCAGGAGCGTTGATATTTACCACATAATTTTGTCAAAGGTGCAATTTTATTACAAAAACATGTTTGAAAATCTTTTTATAAAAGTGTAAATAAGTTACTTACAAATCGTAAAGTTTATTTAGTAAGCAAAAAAATATAAAGTGAACCTCACCATTTCGGTGTTAAAATTCATGTTTTCTTATAAAGTTACACATAACATCTCGAATACCAACTTAGATATACCTGCTTAAGTTGCTTCAAGAATTTTTCTCATGTTTACCTCCTAATGTTTTACGATCAACGCCAGTTTTTTTAATACTAAGTACAAGTTTCCCACGTGATTTGATGCAACAAGTTCATAATATTTTTCAATGTATACTTAGGTATAGTAGGGATTTTAGGTGCATTTGTTTTGAAACGTTAAGCTTACTACAAGTTTATTATAAACGTTTCTTACATCGTAGGTGGCTTAAACAAAAGCGGAAAGCGGTAAATCGATAGATTTAAACTTTTTTTAAGCCACCTGCGATCTAAGAAACATTTATAATAATACTGTACTATCGAGAGATAATTATAGCCATAAGATTCTTTTAGATGAACTTTGCCCTGAAAGAAAAAGATCAATTTGATTTTATTTGATATAATTTATTGCACCTGATTATTTAAATCTTTCACAAATCTTATCTTAACTTGTAGTATTGTGCTAACATCGACTGTAATAATGATCAATTTTGTTGAGTTATTAACCAGTATTGTTGTTACAACATACAAATGGACACTCTTACTACGAATTTCACATGCGTTGTAAACGTAATTAAATACATTTATTTCTTCAAGCCCTTACCTCTCGTGGCTGCACGGCACAAATCGAGAACTTTCGGAACCCGAACACAATATGTCACAAGCGAACCTGTTCCACTCTCCCCTATAATACCAGCGTGAAAGTATAGGTTTCGTTGGGGAAATAGCTTCAGAGGGCTGCACTGTCAGTGGCGGCTTTCGTCCACGAACAAGTGCAATAGACACCCAGTTGGAGTTGCGCTTGCGTTCAGCAAAGCGTAACCTCAACCAGGTCCCCTCGTAACCAGAGTTGCTAAGCAACACACTCCTAACTCTTGCTGGAATAATGATTGGTGGCGTGAAGCCTTACAATGGCTGCCGAGTCTAGAGGCGATAAAGACGCTATTTAGCGTACCTGTGCCTTCAGCAGTTCTAACTTACGACCGGCGTCGACGCCCGTAAAATCTTCACGGAACGAGAGGGGTTAATGGGCTTTGAACCGAACTCGCTTCTCCAGGACCGAACTCAGGCAATTGCGCGACCCGATAGATGGAGCATATCTACTCATTGTCGTACAATTTAGATAACTTAAGATCGGCTAAGTAACACCTTTATCTATATTTTGCTAAAAATGAAAATAAAAATCCTATTTTTTTTTCAGCAAAAACTGTGGGTTTAAGCACAGTTGTAAGATTATTTTAATTGTGGTAGGTTTTTCACATTTTATTGCACATTAATATAATGTAAAGAGTGTAAAACCAACAAGTGTGGAATGCGTTAGTAGATAACAAATGATTTTATCCATTTCCATCTAATGAATAAAACACCACAGACTGATGTCTTTAGATAAACAAATAAAGTGTTTCATAAATCATCAGCGAAATTACAATTTGACAACTTTAAAATTAAAGTAAAGGCGTCGATTCATTTGATAGTCATTTATATGAATTACAACTTTCATTTGTTTTTCTCGTATTGATGATATATACAAATCAGAATTGAAGACAAATCATGAGTGATAAAACTGGAATTTTTTATTTACTCTTTCCCTGCTCCTTGCAGTATTATTTTTATCTGAAACGTTTCGCTATAGTCTCACTATAGGTACTTTAAATTATAATCACTACTTCTTAGTCATTAGTGTTAAATAACAAGTTATCGTCAGAACCAGTGTCCACAATGGGTTAATAACACCAGTTTGAAACAAAGATTTTTCGTTTTATAGGTGCATATATCTATGTTATTATATATCTACTTCTACATATATGACAGTGCCTGTGTTGTCAAATATTATAAATCGCAAAAATACATTGATACTTGTAAGAGTCAAGGGTCATGGGCATTAACAGTATACTCGTCTTTCATAATGGTAGAACCATGTGATGCATTTGTCATCGTCCTTGGTATACCTACTGAAATATAAAGGTATACCTACGATCCATCATTATTCTGTAATGTCATCAACACTCAACTTTATCAATTTGTTGTATCAGTAAAACGCAGTATTTATTGCTTTTTAATAATCCAACCTTCAAGGAGATACCACTTGATCAAAAATGACTGGGTCTGTTGGCAATCCTGGATTTTTAGTTGGAATTGGTATCATGACGTTTTCAATAATTACCAGTTGTGAACTCACAAGATTAACTGTTGACATTACTTTGCAAAATGTGTCCAAAATATAACCTAAATTTGTCGCATGTCAGGATTGACATCTGTCACACTTGTATAGTCTCCGAAATACTACAAGGTTATATGGCTGTTGTAAAATTAGGGTATTGTGAAGACGACAACTAAGCCGTCACTAAGGCAAACCCACAGTTATAAATTGTGTTTGTGTTGATTTAATGTACCAAAAATGTTTAAGCGGATTACTCAGCAGAAGATATTGAGGTGGCAAGATATTGAGACAAATCTTTGATTTATGACGCTAGGATTGAGCCGGTAACCACTAGCAGAAAAGGAATTATAAGATCCATTATTAAGTTTAGTGGGGGCATATAACCATGTATTATTTCGGACACTATACTTCCATTATGCCAACATAAACGCAAGAAATTTAACATTTTTGTGTAAAAAGTACTGCCAACGTACTCAGTTATTTCTGATTGCACGGTACAAAGTAAATAATTATAGTTATAAAGAAAAGATAAATCGACAATACTTACCTACGACATTAAAAATTTGTTTCAATCGAAAATAGTTTTGTTTTCTTTCAAAATTTTTCCAAATTCTTCTTCTAGTACTTTTAAAATTAGTTCTAGCATTGATTGACTGCATATAGAGGAAGTACTATAGCATTATACATATATATAGTCGTCGGATTGATGAAAATTTTGAATACAAGTATTTGGATGTCTTGGGTCCTAAGTTTAGTAAAACTGTTTCGAATTCTTTTAAATTTCTAAAAATAAGTCTTTTCTATCTCGAAAAATTTTTATGTAACATTTTTTTACGCAGTACATTTCATTGTTTCTTAATTGCTAGGGAATCTTATTTTGGAGACCCATTAAAGAAAGTTTTTCGATTTATTTGGACCACGTACTTAATTTTATTGTTTAGTTGGTTATTCTTAGAACTTTCTAAATAGGAAATGTAATGCTTCTGGTTTTTTAAGTTTAGTTTTTGTCTATATTATTTGACAGGAGCATATTAAACTATGAATGGTCCAAAAAATGTCGGTTTATTTTGCTCAAGCTTCTGTTTCAGCATGCATTTTCCAATAGGTATTCAATACTTATCTTGATAATGTGAATTTCTAGCTGTAATTTGTGTATTAGACAAACTGTAGACATATACTTACATTGGATCTCGCCAGATCCGCTGTCCGATTTTAAAAGTATAAAAAAAGTGTCAGTATCTTGAAAGAAATCCACCATCAAGCGATAATAAAAAGTTTAATGTTAGAATTATAGGCTTTTTAACAAAATTTTAGAAAATATATTTCTTTCTTATACATATACCTAATATAGAATAAAATTATACACTGGTGATGGTTTGAAAGTGCAAGTGTGTTTTCATTGTTTGCATTAGTATATGTAATGAAGGTGATCGTTTAAATCGTTAAAGTTTAACTGTTGATCACGTTTTATTTCCAATACGTAAATAAGCTAAAGAGAGGTTTGTACAGGCAAAGTTTCTATTAACTCGATAATCTTCGGAACTACGAACACAATTACATATTCTGATATTGAATATAATGTAGAATAGCACGGGTACTCAAAACAAAATTAAATTTGTAATAACATTTAGCAGTTTATGGTAAGACTTGTTGTTTGAAATTTCGGTAAGACACTAACATTGACTTAATGATTATGGAACATTAAATAAAATGTTTTTGTCCATTCTCCCGAAAAAGGCGATGACGTCATTTCAGAAATATATTTCAAAAAGTTAATGAATGGAATTTACTCATTCTAAACAACTTGTCAAATGTACATGTGATTTGATAAATTCCATTTCGACTTTGATTTTGCCATATGTAATAAGTATAGATAACCCTACTTTGTATGTTGATAAAATAACTGAATACTAGACTTTTCTACATGATTTTGACCATTTTGTATAATTTTTGGGAATTAATGTTATTTAGACCTATGGCAAAAATGGAATTAATGGCAAGAAAAGAGGCATAAACAATGGTACTAAGGGTAGAATGTTAATTTTTTTTTTATGTTTTCCCCTTTTTATAGAGTTTTGAACGCTTAGGGACGATGATTAAGTCAACTTAAAGTCACAGGATCGCATGAAAGATTAGTTTGCTCAGATTTTGATAACTGATTTGTTCTTCGTTCAAGTGCGTCATAATTTTTGTTATCTTGTTAAAAATAAAATATAAGTATAGGTATCTACAAAATTATGAAGAGTAAAACTTTGGATTTTTTAATAATATACATACATATTTGTATGATCAAAAGAACTTTAAGAAATTAAAAAGTAAATAAATCCAGGTAGATCTTTACATTCTAAGTAATTGTAGGATTTTCACTGACGTAACTATGTACAACAGATAAATAATACGGCCCTGAGGTCCTCTCATGACTCCACTTATGTTGCAGATTGTTCTGAATTCGATGCACCGGTACCAGCCCCGAATCCACATCGTCAAATGGAGGGAACACTCGGGACCCATTACGGACTTGGAACAGGAGCAGTACAGGACATTCATTTTCCCGGAATCTGTTTTCACAGCAGTTACGGCCTATCAAAACCAACTCATCACAAAATTGAAAATCGATTCCAACCCATTCGCAAAGGGTTTCAGGGATTCGTCCAGGCTCACAGACTTTGACAGGTAATAAGCTTTGTGATGCTTCCGAAACGGTATCGATTTCTTCTCCACGAACCTGCTTTCGGTTGTACGCATCTCTCTCTATATGGGCCACTACCTTTAATTAAATTTGTCCGACAACGGTTTGGAGTGGTCGTAAAGCAAGTTTTTTTTTCTCGCGGTGATAGGTCTGGAAGTAATTATCTTATTGTTATTAGTGGTGGTTTTATTGACCATAAAGTAGCACGGTAGCTGATGACTTTGGGCATCTGCTGTGGGCAGGATGAGTTTTAACGTGATTTTGGAAGTATGTAATAGGGGCGGAAAAAATGTCTACCGCTTTTAATGGTCATGACAGGCTACTAGGTTATAATTTACAAATTACCTACCAAAGAAAAAGGTTTGAGTAGGAAACATACATTAACATAACCTTATAAGATAATTTAGACAAAAAATTCTGGCTATATTCTGATTATTGTTTATACGATTTTAAGATTATTATCACAACAAATTAAATTCAAATTTTACAACCACTTTTGTAATCGAGAATTATTTCCATCTATTTTGAGGATGTTAGTTGAGTTAAAAATCTAATTAATTTTCAAAAGTACATGCATAGTAGTTATATGCACAATAAGTGACATTATTTATCCATAAAGCTTAATATTTTACTTAAGCATTATCTTCCTGTGCGTAATATAGTAAAAAACATGTAAACATTATTAGTAAAATAGTCATAATTAAGGTGTATCTTACAATGGGTATTTTTAATTCCTCCACTGATTAATTAGAGGACGAAATTTAGTAAAACAGCCCCGTAACTATAACAGTGAGCTGTTTTCCTTTATGATTGCAACAGATTACAAATAAAAAAAAAGTGATTGTCGACATATTTATATCAATGTCCTAAATTAGTAATTTTGCAAAAGCACATACATTTCAGATTTTTTTCACTTGTTGCCTCATAAACTGCCACTTACTTATATTATGATGTTAACTGACGATGCTTGTTTCAACGAGAGAGTAAAAAAGTCGTTGCTTTCTTTAAATGCGGATAATTATATATAATAAATGATGTTTTTTATTTGTAATGGAATCTAATTTGAAATGTTATTAACGGTATCATTTTTAATGATACCTTGATATCTTTATCGTAGTTTTATAAAGAAAACTGCCGGATATAAGCTATGCACTATAAAATTTAAAATGAACTTATTAAATGTGTGCAGTTCAAGGTTTGAGGTGTAGAATCAAGAAATATATGTATTTTTATTTAAATTAAACATAAACATGTTCTCTGTCCCATTTTTCCTGAATGGGAAATAAATCAAAATTTTTGTAATTATGATGTACCACGTATTATGTAGGTGCTGATTTGAATACAGTAGCAGTTTAACAAATACAATTACCCTTTGTATTAGAAATGTTATGCGTGTAAGTACATAAGCTTTAAATTACGCGCATGAAAACAAGTAGCTTCTTTATTTTTCCAGCGGAAATGCCTCGAAACTAATTTATGCCCCGTCATATTAACTACTAATAAAGTTCTTCGTTTCAAATTTATTAAATGTATGCATAAATAAGTACAGCATCCCTCAACTAACGAAGTGGCAAGAACTAATCTAAATTTAACATAGTAGTATTTGATGACTGTATTAGTATAGTAGCTAACACAATGTAGCATTGAAAAATATGTATTTGATGAAACACAGTGAGTAGGTTTAATAGTCTGGTATAAGATTTAAAATCTGATTTTTTAATATCAACTGATATTTGTGTTCGCATTCAAGTTATGGTACTAAGATTTTCAAAAATTCTTTAAATAATGGAAGACAAAAATCTTATAATTAAAAAAAAACAAATAACAGTCTTGGTGATGGATTCTACAGTTTTAAGATTTTTGTAAGTAGTATAGAAAATGAAGCATTTATTAGTTTTTAGTTTTTTTTAATTTTGCTTTGCGCAATGATGACACTTATAATGTAAGTGTTTAAATTTTTTTATTTATAAAAAATAATAAATACCTAGGTAGTCTAGGTACACATTACTTAGACAACTTGGCTTGGAAGCCAACGATTTATTGTTTGAAATGATATAGTAAATTTGGGCGAAAATTTTAGAAATAAACGTGTTCAGGTTTTCAGTATCTGAATGATGGCAAAAGAATCAGTTAAAGTCCGTCTAAACTTCTAAGTCCGGCTCTGTTAGATTGCCCGGAACAATGCTACCTGGAATATGATTTTATTGCAGGTTGGTATGGAATAGCAAATACCAGTGGCGTAAATAGCACCCCCGAATACCCCGCAATGCGGGGGGGCGCAGTGCCAAAAGGGGCGCAGACCGTAACGTAACCGATATATTTTTTAAAATGTACAAACGAGTAAGTACATATTTATATTACTTTTTAAATTTCGTGTATGAGGGCGCTTACTATAAATTGCGGGGGGGGCGCAGTGGAAGTTACCTACGCCACTGGCAAATACCCTTCATAAAGTAATGGACAGTGTTTGCTTTTATAACTTTCTTTAGAGGAACTAACTTTACGTAGGATGATTTTTTTTTTAAATTTAAATCTAAATTAAGTGATAAGATCATAAATAACCAATAGAAATAACAAGAACTCCAGTGCTAGTCCTTTTGAGATACTGTGGATAATTGTTAATGAAGAATGAGTTATTTATTCTTATTTCAGCAGGATAGTTTTCTTTGTGATGTTAAATTTGGTCTTTACTGTCCTAAACCCAAAAAAACCTGGCTTAATTTCGCACATACAGAGTAATAAAATTGGGTTAAAATTGACTCAAATACAGTATCAAATGAAGTCTGTGGAATTTTGAGAAGACTGATTTTTTTTACATAATTATTTTTCGTAAAATTACACTCATGTGAGTTTAGTGTTGTGTTTAGTTAACTGTATTATTTATAATATTCATACAAAGTCCACTGAAATTTTATACTTAAAATATTATCTTGAAACTAACCGTTTAAAGATACGTTTCTTTTGTTTGTTAATTTCTATGTACCTAAAAGTGATATTAGAGTCAAGATTGTAATATATTTAAGCAAATGCATTATTTTTGTCAGTGAATGAGATTATTTATAATAATTCCGATTTAACTGTAAAATGTTCATAAATTTTTTAAAAACGTTCTTACCAAATCCAATAAGAATCAAACAGGTCTTTGTCTTTGTCACTACAAAACTGAATAACTATGGTATTATGGAATTCATGTAACACCGAAACTTTCCAAATGGCATTTTTTCAAACTGTTAAATTACAAACAAGAAACATTTTTAACTTTTTTAAGTAACTTACACTCTTTGTTAATAGACACTTTTATTTATCGTCAACATTGTCATGCTCATATAACGGCGTAGAATTGAGTTTTAACCCAAAACTGAGTTAATATTTCAACAGCTCATCATATTTAACGATTTTTTTACTTTTGTACGTTTTAATGGTTAATATTGAGTAATACAGTTTGCTATTTATTCTTAGACTCAGGAAGAGTTGGTAACACATTTTTTTTACTTAGTTTCAGCTGTTACAAAATAACAGCTTGTATCATAATAAATATGTTTTCCTGGGTACTGCATTTCGACAGTGAAAAATGGGCACTCTTAACTGATTTTGCAGATTTCAAATTCTCCAACAATTTTTCTAGTTCCACACTTTTTTCAAAATCTCTGTAGTGCGATCTCACAGTGCGATTTAGTTTTATTACACTGCTGAGACATGTTATCAATTCGGTATTTTCGAAGTTCTTTGTTTAAACTTATTTCCACAACATTGCGCAGTAGGAAGACAACGGTTATTTGAATCTATCGAGTGCCAGAATTTTCACGAATTGTTTAATTTATTTTTCACCACCTAATGCCTTTAGATAAGTGAGAGTATTTATTTTATGATTAGGTATGTTATAAATTATGTATCACGATTCAAGGAAGACTTTTTTTTATTTCAAAAATAAATCGTTTGGGTCTATTGCTCTTGGTTAAAATAGTTAAACTACGTCCTAAGTAATATTTAAATGATAGAATTACCTATAATGGACCGAACCTGAAAATATTTCATTTGTTAGTGTGACAACATATTCGATTTTAGTTTAGGCAAATTGTGTATTACCGAGCCGGTTTTCCTTTCCGTCGGAAAATGTCAAGCCTAGACCTCCAGCTCTGCCTCGCAGGTGCTCCCGGAAATTCCGGAATTATCTCGTAATCTGTCGATTTCTGGCGTTTAGGCCCAAACGTCAATCGATAATTTCAGCGGAATATTGCGGTATAGAGCCATTACTGCAATCGGTTTGCGATTGTGGTTTAGGGAGATGACCGGTCCGGTCTAATTAAAGGAGTCCGGTTGATTTGGAGGCGAGCACGCACACGAATGGTGAAAGTGATAAGTAATAATTCATGGGGCTGCGGGCGCATAAAAAACATCCTCATTTCTGTTGTGATAGAATTTAATTTACGTGTTTCAATCTCGCGCTGCCGCTAGGGGGCGTGTTCATGTGTGCCGCCCTGTAATTTCAGACAATCGTTGTCTTCACGACGACGGCTTGATGATATAATGAAGGTGGGATATTTTCTCACACCTCAGGTAGACTCCGGTGTTTTCCCAGTTATTTTCTCGTTTCGGGTTTTTGCTCGCCTTTAATTAGGACGCGGTGTACACATGCAGCGACCCCTGGTGGCCGGGGGCGGGGCCCGGAGCCTCTCATTATCGCTTCACCGCGCGATCGCTCCGTCTCAATATTATTGATTGTTTTCGCGGCCGCCGCTCCGCCCGCACACTCACTTGTTTCGCGCTTCGTTCGTTGCCTCCGGTTTTTTTACGCAAAGTCCGGGCCGAGGGCTTCCGGTTAACGCGACGCAGATAAATCTTTATTGTTTGCTAATTTCAAATATAATGGCACCTTAAAATGCACGTTTTGGGTCAATGTCGGCGGTAAGCGCAAAGGATAATTTGGTAAAGTATTCTAACAAAACTCGTGTCGTATAGTCAAAAACCTGGTCGCTGTTTTTGA